TTAATATACAAATGTATTTATTTATTTATTTTTGCTTATTTATGTTTATTTTTATTTATTTATTTATATTACAGTGAAATACAACACTTTACAAAAAAATTTTAAGACAACCTTGCTGCATTTACAACTTATACAAAATAAAAGGATTTGTATATATATATATATTAACAACTAAACAAAAAAAACTACCAAACAAAAAATAAAAATGCTCCTCCATTTTTGGTTAATGATCATCTATTCAAAAGTGACTAATATAATCATGCTCAGCACAAGGTACATCAAAAAAGTAATTAAATAAACAATATATGTATTATAAAATTATAATAGTAGTTTTTTAGGTATTAATCAGATACTCATCAAAAATCAGATTTTGTTTTACTTATTTGACTCACGTTTTTATAGTCTAAACACGCACAAAAAAAAATCACAAAGTCGGATGTTTGCAAACCTGACTCAAACCACATCCATTTGTGGTTTGAAATCCGATTAAAATCAGATATTTTACTGAATTATCGTGAGCATGGTGACTCCGGTCAGATCGGATTTCAAGTTTTTTCCCCCAACTCAAGTGCACAGTGTTTACTGGGACTGTTTCCAATTATGCTCATTTTCCCCCCACTCATTTCTCATATAGCCAACCATGTGACATTAGCCTACAGTTAAACGGATTTGACTATTTTGGTTGTGTCGTATGAACAAATCCATGTCCTTTAGAGGCTCTTAAACCACGTCACAGCAGGCAAAATTACTGCTTTTCTATGCATCTGCCAATTTTGAGATTTTTTTTCAGGCTAATGTAAAGAAAACACTTTTAAGTGTCACATTTGTTACTCTTTAAAAGTTTTTTGTTGATTTCAGTTACAGCACATATTTTCAAAGGCTACTTTCTCAAAAAAAGCTTATTTTCTTCTGTAACAAACCATAAATCTCCTCTTGAGCAGCTCTTACATACAATAAACTGCACAGTTTTATTCACATTCTGAAGTTTTTACAGAGGCATGTGTTCATACATTATTTGAATGATTATATTGAACATTTATTCAACCAATTCTCAAAATTCTGTCTGCTTCCTCAATTGTGGAGTGATAAAAAGAGATTCCCAAAATCCCCTGTGCAATAATCTTTGTCTATACTGTAAAAAAAAGGTAGAATTTTTAACCGGAATTCATCCAAAGTTTAGATTTTTGTGTTAGAAATACATGCAAATAATGCATATTTAATGAAATGTTGCTTCATTTGCATAGTTAAACATAACATTTAAGAAAAGTAGTAATGCAAAAAACATTTTCAGGTCTCAATGAAATCACACAAGTGGGAAAATATGCTAATAAACAAATATTTTTTTCCTTTTCACTCTTGTTTTTACTACAGATCCTCCAAAAGTGACTGCAATGCACCTTGTGGAAAGCAGCCCGACCAGCCTTTCTCTTCAGTGGTCTGTTTCTCATCGCGCCAAACCAGTGGCCACGCGTTATGAGCTGATGTTTCGCAAGAAGGTCAGTAACACTATCCATTTCAGCCCTGATATTTCACTTTCCATCATCTAGAACAGAGGCATTGTTATTCTCTGTTTTCCTCGGTGTGTCTGCAGGAAAATGATGAGGAAAAGGCCAGTGGAACGGTCACTACCTTCACTGTGCTGGTGCTTGAGAAGAACTCGGCTCAGATCAAAGATCTTTCTCCATCCACCGTCTACTTGTTTAAAGTTCAGGCTCTCAGCTCAGAGGGAAGCCCGGGCAGCTACAGCATTGAGCAGGAGTTTTCAACACTCCCACCAGGTAAATGCAAGTGAAAAGGTTTTGATTTAAGTGGACATATTTTATTTTATTTGATTTATTCAATTGCATTTATTTAATTAAATTTATTTATTTTATTATTTATTTATTGTATTTAATTAACTTTAATTAATACTTTTTTTATTTTATTTTGTTTTATTTTATTTTATTTATTTATTTAACCTTATTTAACTAAATGTATTTATTTTTCAATTTAATTTAATTTAATTAATTAATTAATTAATTTATTTATTTTAGTTTATTTATTTATTTATTTATTTTATTTATTTATATATTTTAGTTTTATTTATTTTATTCATTCTTTATTATTTTATTTATTTATTTTAATTATTTTATTTTAGTTTATTTATTTTGGTTTATTTATTTTATTTATTTTAATTTTTCTATTTTAGTTTATTTATTTTTTCTATATATAATTTTTTTTAGCACTTTGCATTAGTTTTCAATGACCCTATGAAATGAACATTTAGTTCTACAGATTTCAGACCTAAAAATACAAAGGGCTATTTTCTGTATTGAACACATATTAAACTATTTTATTTCATCTTTATTTTTGGTTTTGAGGCTTTTATTTGATTCTTTTTATGTTTTCCAGAAAATCTTCAGCTTTTTCACTACTTTTTATATCTATTTAAAAAATAGACATAAGGATAAATAATGTTTTTTTTTATAGGAAATACATCAATACAGAGAACAGTTCATGTTCATGTCATGTAATTATTCATTTATTTTATTAACAAAAAATACTGTTATACAACTTTCATACAATACTAGCAATGTATATTATTACAATGTTTAATTAAATAGTTCAGGTTGCAAAAACCTCTAAATGCCATCTTTATTTTTTTCCTTTAAAATGTGTGTATGTTTAGAAAATCCTGTATAAATCCACATTCATGGCAAAGAATGGGTTATTTGCATTGCCTTTAAAGTAAAATAATTGAACATAAATATTGGAGAAAAATGCTAAATTTAGAAGGAAATTTCAGATGCCTGAAAAATGTTTGCATCTGAACTCTTCAATTGTATTTATTTGATTTTCAAAAACATTTTAAACTCTTTACACTGAACAAGATACTTATTCTGAAGTGACAAACATGTTTTTTGTTGCACTTTTTTTGTAAAGAAGAGCGTTTTATTCTCGAGTGACTCATTTGCCTGGCCTTTTTTGTTGTTGTTGTTTTCCCATCTCTTCAAAAAGCGGGAAACACAGCAGTGATCCTCGGAGCTGCCATTGGAGGAGCCGTCATGCTTTTCATCGTGGTTGTGGTCCTCCTCCTTCGAAAACGGTAAGAAACAAGCACTTGACACACACACAGCCATCTTTATATCTCTCCCTCAGTCACTCCTTCAAGCCGTTCCTTTTCATTCTCCTTCAAAAACCATTCAGTGTTTCCTTTTCACCGCTCTCACACTCTTCCAGAAGCGGCTCCTTACCTCTTTAGAGGAAGAATCAATCGGCTGACTGTCTGCTGACTGCTCACTAAGTGTATCTTAACAAGAGGCATATTTGAAAAGAGACGAATCGGAGAGGCGTATTATGTGAGATAAGAGGCGACGGGATTGTAGGGCTTCTATGAAGGCGACCTGAGCCCTTCATGCTCCCTGTGATAACCCAGACCTCTGTCAGCACTTGGCAAACACAAGCCGCTTTTTTAGGTTTTTTTTCAAAGCACTCCTGGACTGAATGGATTGAATCCAGCACTGGTCGCTCTTCAAACTTGAGTCTGAAAAGAAATGTGGCTTTGCTGAAAAATAGAGAGCTCATTGAGTTGTTTTTCTTCCACAGACGAAGAAACTCTCACACCAGACAAGGCCCAGAGGACACCTACTTCTCCAGCCCAGGTTAGTGGGGTTGAATTTTATTCTTTTACAAACTCTTTAAAGGTTAGTTCACACCAAAATGGAAATTTCCTAATAATTTGTTCATTTAACCTTATGGCATTTTAAGTTCACACAATTGAAGGTATTTTTCTACAAATCAGAGAGAGTTCTCTCGCTACATTGAAAGTGCATCAAATCTCTGATGGCTTGGAATGTGTAAAAAGAAAATTCATTTAAAGATTTACAACATTCTTACTGGTCATGGAAAGCTCATATATGCTTGCTTGATGCATGAGAACCAATCATTTTCATTCTTGGGTGTCACATGGTGTTTTTAAGCTTCAGCAATAACCACAGAGACTTGGGCTGCATCCAAAATTGCCTACTACTCAGTAGGTACTCCATTTGAATTAGAATTTACTACTCAACCGTTAGAAAAGTACGTTCTGTATAATATGAATGTGAGTAGTATGAATGGAAGTTGGATGTACTATGTATGCCAATTTGTCATGATCACAAGACCTACCCGCTATTTGCATTTCTTTACTACCATTCATAAATTCTGGTGCAAAGCATTATCAGATAGCATAGCATCCATCAGATGTGCATCTCAGAATCTCGCCAGAAGTAGTCGGCCATCTGGGTACTTCTCGCATACATTTTTTTGAGTTCATACTACTCGGCTCAAATACAGTTTTTAGCATATGTGTATATATAGTATAGAAGTATGCGATTTCGAACGCAGCATTGGTCTCACTTGTAAAATAGGTTGCGGTTTAGTTTATGGATTTCATTGTTTATATTTCAATAAAATCTAATGTATCTATTTTTTGGGGTGGGGGGTTTGCGTGGAAAGATTTTAAATAAAAGAACAAATCTCTCAAATGTCGTTAAAACATTTTCATTTGTGTTCCTAAGATGAAAATGGGTTTTGAGTTTGGAATAATGTGAACAAGGTTAATATTAAATATGTTTATGTTTGGAGGGAGACCCCTTGAAAGAAGAGACTCTTGAAAATTCTTTCTTTGCATTTGCTGGATGTATTAAGTGTGAAATTGAGCAAAATGTTAGAAAATATTAGTTTTATTCTTTAAATTTGATAAAATTCCTTCAGAATTTCTCATAACTATTTTGATTTAAAGATTTTTTTTCTTTAATTTTTGTTCCCACTAAATATTGCATTCCTCTGAAGTTAAAACAATGGTATTGTGTTGTCTAAAATGATTATAAACCCATCTAATAATATAGCACTTTATTTTATTTTGTTATTTTATGCAAACAATAATTAAAATAAAAACATTTTTATTTTAAATAAAGTCAGCAATTTACAGAATAAATCTAAACTTATATTCTACTAAAAAACATAATTTTAAATAAAAAATAAAAAAATCTTTAACTGTGAATTTTTGTGTGTGTGTGTGTGTGATGATTTACAATTTAATCCAATGCAAAATTCTCATCAATCCAGATCAGCTTAAGCCGCTGAAGACCTATGTTGATCCTCACACATACGAAGACCCGAACACAGCAGTGCTGAAGTTTGCCAGCGAGATACATCCCAATCACATCACCAAGCAGAAAGTCATCGGAGCAGGTTAGTACATCCATGGCATTTTGACAAGCCGCTGTGGGGCTGTTAGGAGTGCATTCTGGGAGGAATGACTTTCAACACTCATTGATATGAAGTTATGTTACAGTTCATTGAAAGTGACAGCTTTTTTACAGTTCAGTGGAGTGACAGCTTAAACAAGGCGCGCATCACAAATTGTCTGATTCCTGCTTTACATGTTAGAGCTGGAATATTTTTAGTTTAGTGCTTCTTTCCCTCAAGAGACTATTTTTTTCCCCTCCCGATGTCATTCACATTGAATTAGTGTTGTTTTCTTAACCCGCTCTGGAGATTTTTTTCGTATCCCACATGGAGGAGTACAGCTATAAAAAATCAGAGTTAATTAATCATAACTTAAAAATAAAGCAAATAACTGCTAAATTGATCCCACTTTCTATTCCTGTTGGGAGAAAACTATGAAGCGGAAAAGTTTTATTGGAATCATTATTAATGAATAATTTCTAAAAATATCATCATATTATAATGATTTCAGAAGGATCTTGTGGCATTGAAGAATAGAAGTAAATTCAGTTTAGAAACACAAGAATGAACTACATTATAAAACATTTGAGAATCCTAATGTTTTTTTTAAATGTCAATGATATTTTACAACATTACTGTTTTTATTGTATTTTGATCAAATAAATGCAGCCTTGGTAAGGAGAAAAAACTTATTCAAAACAAGAAAAACATAGTGCAGATCAAAGATTAATCACGGTTAAATGCATCCAAAATTAAAGTTTGGTTTGTCATTATATAGTTGAAGTGAGAATTATTAGCTTGTAAAAAAATTATTCTAGCCGAAATAGAACAAATAATACTTTCTCCTGAAGAAAAAATATAATTAGACATGCTGTGAAAATTTCCTTGCCCCTTAACATAATTTGGGAAATGTTTAAAAAAGAAAAAAAATCTGAATGAATAATTCTGATTGCAACTGTAAGTACAACTTACAAATAAAACAAACAAACACTAAATTAGCCCTAAATCATTTAAAATTTTTTATAGTATACATCTCAAGCATCAGCATTAAATGAGAAGATCTGTGTGTTGTGGTCAGGTTTTCACTCTTATTATCCCTCAGCAACTCTCCTCTAGTTTCTGTTCGCTTGTTATACACAGATTCTCATGGCCTTTCTGACCTCCCGTCCCATGAATCCACTCGCTAACTGTGCATGCTGGTTATAATTTCAAAGGATCTCCTGCATGTTGTTAAATAACCCCTATTTGTCAGGGGACGTGTTTGAGGAGTTTCCGTGTGGAATGTGTTTTATCTGATGGCGTTTGGTGGTGTGTGTTTTTATGCTGTAGGTGAGTTTGGAGAGGTGTATCGAGGAATCCTCAAAGCTCCCAGCCGGAAAGAAGTGGCTGTAGCTATTAAAACGCTAAAGCCGGGATACACAGAGAAACAGAGGCAAGACTTCCTGAGTGAGGCCAGTATCATGGGACAGTTCTCACACCAGAACATCATCCGGCTGGAAGGGGTTGTCACTAAATGTAAGTGCAGTCGACTGCTAATTGTTAAAATAGTAATAATAATAATCATTATCATCATCATATTTAACAACATAATAATAATACTATTTATTAACATTACAAATAATAAAATAATATAGTAATACTTTAAAATAGTTATGTAACAGATTGACATTAATAAAATAAACAATAAAAAGAGGTAATAATGGTCAAATTATGTTAATTGAATAATGGTCCTAATGATGCATTTTATGTAATTTTATGTAATTCAAATGAACACGTAACTATATTATACTAAAATAAATATGACCAAAAAATGAATTAATTTGTATTAAGTCGTCGGGGTGACAACAGAGGTGATGGTCCAAGCACAGTTTTTACAGCTTAATCAGACAGGCAATGGTCACACAGGAGCAAACAGTATCATGAGGGTAATCCAAAGAGTAGTCGTGGTCACAGGCAAAGAGATTAATGCAAGCGGCAAACAACATAAACTTTTAATAAAACAAGGGTCAGAAAACACGGCAAGTCTAGACTAGACTAGGGTAGGGAAATGCTTTGTAAAGTTCCAGATAAACAAGACTTAGCAATGTGTGTGAGAATGTGAGCAGTTAATACAGTCCATATATTGTGTGTTTGTGTGTGTGTACGTGTGTGTGTATTTGTGTGCATACAATCATTTTTAATCTGGAACTAGTTTGTGTGTGAAGTGCCTGATGGGAATTTCAGTGGCAGAATTGTAGTCTATCTTGTAGTTTCACAAGATAGTTAAATAGCTCTATTTGATGTTCTAACAGTATTCTGGTACAGAAATTTAATGATCGTAATGCAAAATTTTTTGGGTCAAGACAAGATATTGTTTTGTTTTAAAATTCAGATGAAATAAGGCAAAATTGAAAAAAAAAATCTTAATTAATTAATTTTAAAATGTACCAACAATTATCAAAAAAAAAGTTTAAAATGAAAGAAAAGTTATTTTAAATATTTATCTAAAATTTAATATAATTTTAAAATGTACCATAAATACAATTATTTATACATCTTAAATACATGTACAGTTAAAGTCAGAATTGTTAGCCCCCCTTAATTATGGAAAAAACTCAGTTTTTTCCTCAATTTCTGTTTAACGTAAAGAAGATTTTTTTTCAACACATTTCTAAACATAATAGTTTTAATAACTCATTTCTAATAACTGAGTTATTTTATCTTTGCCATGATGACAGTAAATAATATTTTACTAGCTATGTTTTCAAGACACTTCTATATAGCTTAAACTGACATTTAAAGGCTTAACTAGCTTAATAAAGTTAACTAGGCAGGTTAGGGTAATTAGGCAAGTTATTGTATTACGATGTTTTTTTCTTTAGACTATCAAACAAAAAAAATAGCTTAAAGGGGCTAATAATTTTGACCTTTTATTCTAGCCGAAATAAAACAATAAGATTTTGTCCAGAAGAAAAAATATTATCAGACATACTGTGAAAACTTCTTTGCTGTGTTAAAAATCATTTGGGAAATATTTAAAAAGAAAAAAGAATTAAAAGGGGGCTAATAATTCTGACTTCAACTTTATATATTATATACGTATGAAGAGTTTGTTTACTTGTTTTAGTGGTTTAATAGACAGAAATTTGTATAATGACATGGATACAAGATAGCTGTGCTCAGTTACAGTGGTTTTTGAGGACATGACTTGTGCCCTCATAATTCAAATCTCATAAAAATCATACTTAATGGGGTCTTTTCACTTACAAAATTTGCCACTATTTTCCTATGAGGATTAGGTGGCTGTAGTCGGGTATTTAAGGCCATAAAATAAGCTTTTTTTACTGTATAAAATACGTTACTTCTATGGAGATTCCCAGATTGTGTGTGTGTGTGTGTGTGTATGGAGAGTCAACGATTGTGTATTTAATAATTAGCTTTTTTGTCTTATTTTTGTTTAATTGAACTGAATATAGTTTTTGAGCAATTTTTATTGTTACTTGAGCCGTAATGTAATTCGGGAGAATTAACATTTGTTTCATTTTTCATTTTCTAAAGCCTCTTTGTCTCTGTCTGTTTTCTTTGCAGTCAAGCATGCCATGATTGTGACGGAGTACATGGAAAATGGAGCTCTTGACAAATACCTCAAGGTATGTTAGTCAAGTTCATCACTGATACAGAAAAAGAAACAAAATCTGACAGATGATAATTCAAAGTGATTTAACACAACAAACAGTTCGCCTCGAAACTGTCTCATTCTCTTTTTACAAGAAAAATAAAAATAAAGATAAAACTCTTTCTTTTTCACAGGACCATGATGGAGAGATGTCGTCCTTCCAGCTTGTGGGTATGTTGCGTGGCATCGCGGCGGGCATGAAATATCTCTCAGACATGAGTTATGTACACAGAGATCTGGCCGCCAGGAACATCTTGGTCAACAGTAACCTGGAGTGCAAGGTGTCTGACTTTGGTCTGTCCCGCGTCCTGGAGGATGATCCCGAAGGCACCTACACGACTAGCGTAAGTCCACTTAGCAAATAAACATGTGGTTTCAAACTCCAGATGTCTTTATTTGGCCAATACTGCAACCTGCTTATTATGTCAGGATTTGGGAAAATTATATGGGATTGCTTGACACTTGTTTATATGTGTTCTTTTGGCCCACAGGGAGGTAAAATTCCGATACGCTGGACGGCTCCAGAGGCCATTGCTTACAGGAAGTTCACATCCGCGAGTGATGTGTGGAGTTTCGGCATTGTCATGTGGGAGGTGATGGCATTTGGAGAGAGGCCGTATTGGGATATGAGCAACCATGAGGTATGGATTGACCATATTGGAGATTTCTTTGAGCAAAATGTGTAGGTAATTAGTTATAAGGAATCTGCTGGCATTTGCTGCAGAGAATTTTGTAAAACATCTGTAAATTTATTCAGAATTATTTTGGTAGTATTGTAATTAAAAACTTAATATATGAAATGAAAAATAATACCTTTTTAACTTTTATTTAATGTTTACAGTGCAAATTCAATTAGATCCACTTATTTGGTAAACAAAGCAAGTCTCTCTTATAATATATGTACTAAAGGACAGAAAATATTACTTTACAAGCTGTATTATAAATAAATCAAATAAACATTTTAATATTTCTATTATTATATCACAATAATACTAGTGAAATTATTTTAAAAACTGAATAAATATAAATTTACACACATTTACACAAGTAAATACATAGACTCAATTATAGAATTGATTGATCTGTTTATTTGTGTGGGCCTTGTAATGAGTTAATTAGTAATTAAATTGGGAATTAATAAATATTTATAATTTAATAATAATTAATATTATTATGTTCATTTTTAATACAAAATAGTAAACAGCAACAATAACATGATTCAAATATAAAGAAAGTTTTTATATTTTTATTTTTCCGAAGTCCAATGTTGTTTTTCGTAGGTAATCGATTAACTAGTAAATAAATTACTGAATAATAAATATTTACAATTTTTATTACATTTGTTATTATTATTATTATTATTATTATTATTATTATTATTATTGATGTTGTTTGTTGTTGTTTTTATTATTTGTATTATTTTTGTTGTTGTTGTTGTTGTATTTTATATTATATTATATTACTAATGATAGAATATATATTAACACCAATAAATATAATCAATATCTATAAAAAAACAAAAATAAATGTAAAAAGGTAGATTAGGGGAATAAAAGATTAAGAATAGAAAACAAATTCAAATAAAATAAACAAACTAAAATACAAAACAAATTGTGTTTTTTTTGTAATAATTGTGTAATAATAATAGTAATAGTATAATAATAATAAAAGTAACAATATTAATAATAATAATAATATTGTAAAAGATTATCAACTAAAATATAGTTATAAAATAAATACAATAAAGAAAATACTAAAAAACAGTTAACAACAATAATTTTATAGCTCTGGTGTTGGATCTTCCTTTCAGCAAAGTGTAATTTTTTTCTCTCTCTGTAGGTAATGAAGGCCATTAATGAAGCTTTCCGTCTTCCTGCGCCGATGGACTGCCCTTCAGCCGTGTACCAGCTGATGTTACAGTGTTGGCAGCAGGATCGCTCCAAACGGCCCAGATTCGGAGACATCGTCAGCCTTCTGGACAAACTCCTGAAGAGTCCAGATTCTCTGAAGCCTATCGCAGACTTCGACCCTCGGTAAGCGCTCACAACACATGCTCAGAATTCTTCAAATGACTCCTTTTACATGACAGAGAGAAGTCGAGGCTTGCACACACGTCTATTACACAATTTCTGAGCAAGACACTCAAGTGCTAATTTAAACAAAGTCATTCCCCTGTGAAGTTAAGACACGCACCGCGTACCAATGGATGGTTTTGGCATCTTCTGATGTTTATCGCACTGTAAACTTTCCAATCTTCATCAGAATTCTTGAACCTAACGGACAGGTTTTCCTCTCCCACCCAACAATTACGACAAGAAAAGGTCTCTCTCTCTCTCTCTCTCTCTCTCTCTCTCTGTGGTTTTCTTAAATGTATTTTTGTGTTTTGTGCCTTTGTCAGAGTTTCCATTCGGCTTCCCAGCACCAGTGGCTCAGACGGCTCTCCCTTCAGGTCTGTGTCCGAGTGGCTGGAGTCCATCAAGATGAGCCAGTACAGTGAGAACTTCAGCATGGCCGGTGTGGTCAGCATGGAGCAGGTGCTGCAGATGAAGAGCGAGTGAGTAACGCTCACACTTTTACACACGCTACAAAACAACAACAGCAGTTAATGATCTGATGCGATCATTGCGATTGGTAGATTTTGATATATTCATTTATTTTATTTTCGTCTTAAGGCTCCTACACACTGGGATGCTTTTCGTTTGCATTTATCGTCAGCGTTTAACGAGACGTTTTCAGACATCCCAAGTTGGAAAAAGTAATTTCCAGGGGATACAGAGTTGATTTGCGGGAGGTAGCGGATTAGTGGGTGCTTGAACGTATCTTCTGTGAAGGGGGCGTGTGCGCGCGAAACGTACTTGAAGAGCGGTGGGGGTGAGTTGCGCGAGACGTACCTGAAGAACGGTGGGGGTGAGTTGCGCAAGACGTACCTGAAGAGCAAGTAGGGATGCAGTGGAGAGAGGAGTGTGCAACATATTTAAGGACCGGGCAGGAGACGTGCGAATTCCGGGAGATTATCATTCATTTGCGGGCATCCGGGAGTGTCTATGCATTTCAGGGATACTCCCGCAACTTCCGGGAGACTTGGGATGTCTGCGTTTTTCCGTATCCAAACCAAAACGTTTTTCACTGGCGTCAAGCTGAAGAGTATGCAAAATCACTCCTTGACGGTAGATGGTGCTACACATCTTTAACCTTCTGACATGCGCTTATAACACAGAAGAAAAGGAGGAGAGGAAGTTCACATGCTTGTTGTTAAAGTTACTGGTGACTCGAACAAGCATGGATGGTTCAAGCAGCAGCTCCAGCTCTAGCGATTTAAAAATGATTATTGTACACCAGAGCAATAAGCAACTAAATGTTCAAATCGCCTCTGGGCATTTTCTTTAATGTGCGCTCGCATTCACAGTTTTGCGCTTGAGCGTCTCCAAGTGCTGTTTACTGTACAGTAACCTTCTTGCTGTGAGGCGACAGCACTACCTACTGAGCCACCACATCGCCAGATTTTAATATAGTTAAAAATTTATTCTATTTTTTAATTTGCTTAAATTAGTATACTTTTCTGGTGTGTGTATTTAAATATTTCCCTGTGATGGGTTGAGGCTGGAAGGGCATCCGCTGTGTAAACAATATAATGAATAATGAATTACGCGACCACTGTGGCGACACCAGATTAGTAAAGGGACTAAGCCGAAAGAGAATGAATGACTAAATGAATATATATATATATATATATATTTTTTTTTTTTCCAATTTGTCTTTAACACAAAGATTTTTCCAACAACTTGCCTATTTACCTTAACCTGCCTTGTAAACCAATTAACCTAGTTAAGCCTTTAAATGTCACTTTAAGCTGTATAGAAGTGTCTTGAAAAATATCTAGTAATATATTATTTACTATCATCATGGTAAGATAAAATAAATCAGTTATTAAGGATGAGTTATTAAAACTATTATGTTTAGAAATTAGTCGAAAAAATCTTTTCTCCGTTAAACAGAAATTGGGGAAAAAAATAAACAGGGGGGCTAATAATTCAGGGGGTTTAATAATTCTGACTCCAACTATATATACTCTATATATATATTATTTAATTAAAAGTAGTCTTTGGACACAGTATCCTGTTTCTTGAACTTCCTTCAATTTCTCTCTTACATAATGTCAGAAATGTAGCCTAACTAATTTAGTATTATGTAAAACAGGGAATAAAATGGCCCCAGATGAACATAATTTGAGAGTTCTGGGAATTTGTGAAGGAATCTGCAGTGTTTGGCTCTCACCCTCTCCTGCGGCACACAGTCTACACCGAGACTGATTGGTCAGGACAAGCTTGTATTTAAACAAGATGCTATCCTCGAACTTTTAATAATTCCTCGAACATATAAATATTTTTCCACGTTTTTTCTTCTAGAGATCCGGTAATTGAATGTGGCTTAAATTTATGCTTTGGTTACAAGGATAATCTCACACAACCACAGACCATTTTTTGATTTACTGTATTTGGCGAGCGCAGCAACCACATAAAATTGTAATGACGATTTAACCTTTTTTAGACGAGTCAAGCGCTAACTTTTAACTTAAACACACACAAACGTTTCAGCGTCTTCTCAGTAAACACCTTAGAGGGCTACTAGTTTCTTTGAAGCGATGGCAGGAGAGAAAGAATAGCCGTGGTTTTTGGCTGTGGTGGATTGTGGCATGATGTTCCCCTGCCCCGTCCTGCCATCCCTCCCTTCCTCCCACTGTTTCGGCAGACTCTCTCATCCCTCCCCTTCCCAACAGCACTAGTCGAGGCCTGCGCTTCCACTGTAGCCAGAAACCACACAACCCTCACATCCACACCACTGGACTTAAAAGTCAAGACTAGAGATGAAAGAGAGCCGCGCTGCTGAAGGAGAGAGAGCTGATCTTCATGCAGAGAACAGAGAGATATATTTATACACAGTTTTGTATCATGCAGCAATATTTTACAGGAAGAAGTGAGCTGCACTCATACTCCACTCATATTCTTTTTTGCTTCCATTCTTCATGATGTGAAAAGTGTTCAGTATTTAAAAGAAAGCAAATTAAGTATGTTTTTAATAATTGAACATTGGCTAATTAATGATGACGTCAACATAATTAGTGCTTTGAAAAGAGGGTGGAGGGACTGAATTACTCTATACAGTCAGGAAGGATTTAACTGAGCTCAAAGTTTGTCTGTTTACTGATAGATGAAAAATAAAACATCAAAACAAGAATATTTGTATGAGTGCGGATAACTATTTTCTGTATTAGCAATTTAACAGGTCAAGATTAAGTTAAAAAAGGTGTAAACGACGTTGTTGTTATGCAGAAATACATTAAAACATTTGTCTGCATTAATTTTCATTAGTGGATGAATGATAAATAATACATTTGCTGTTTGCTGTTAAATGTTTATAAATGTTAGCATGACTTAGCATAGCTAACTACTAAACTTAAAGTTCACCCAAAACTGAAAATTCTCTCATCAAATAATAATACCTTACATTTATATTATATACACAATAGGGGCCATGATGGATGTAGGCCAGTGGGCAAATTTGCTCAGGATGCTAGGGTTAAACCCCTAATCTTTTTCGAAGAACATCCTGGGATTTTTAATGACCATAGTGAGTCAGGACCGCGGTTTCGTGCCTCATCCGAAAGACGACACTCACTGAGCAGTATAGAGTCCCCTTCAATGTACAAGGGTGTACAACCCACACAGACCACAGGTTGAGCGCCCCCTGCTGGCCTCACTAACACCACTTCCTGCAACAACCTAGAACAGGGGTGGCCAATCCTGTTCCTGGAGATCTACCTTCCTGCAGATTTCAGTTGCAACCCTTATCAAACACACCTGTCTGTAATTATCAAGTGGATTTCAGGTCCTAATTAATTGGTTCAGGTGGGTTTGATCAGGGCAGGAGCTAAACTGTACAGGTAGATCTCCAGGAACAGGATTGAGCAAAAGTTGCTATAAAAAAAGTTGCTAGATTACATCATACGTCTTTTGCATATTACTGACGTCACCACGTTCTACCCTTTCTGTTTGTGTAACAGCCTATGATTAAAAAGGGGTATTTATATTTGCACTTTGCTTTATGTATGCATGTCACTTTAACTAAATGTATTGCTGTTTGAATACAGTATATCCATATAGATGTGTAGTGAATTTGCAGTAATCTGCAAGTAAAAAACTCAGACATGTTCAAAAAGTTCAGTTTCTTCTGGAGAAAGTCTTATTTGTTGTATCACGGCTAGAATAAAAGTAGTTTTTAATAAATAAATAAAAAAAACTTTTCAAGGTTGTCTACAGTTGTCTGCAAAACAAACCATCGTTATACCATAACTTGCCTAATTACCCTATCCTACCTAGTTAACCTAGTTAACCTACTTAAGCCTTCAAAGATCACTGGACACAGTAGAAGTGTCTTGAAAAATGTTTAGTAAAATATTATTTACTGTCATCATGGCAAAGATAAAACAAATCAGTTATTAGAAATGAGTAATTATAACTATTGTGTTTAGAAATGTGTTGGAAAAATCTGTTCTCTGTTAAACAGAAATTGGGGGAAAAAATAAACAGGGGGGTTAATAATTCTGATTGCAACTGTATATTATTATTTATTATTAATATTATCAACATTATTATTTGTGTCTGTATTTTAACCATTTATAGATAAATTACTGTCTGACCATCTTAAATAATCTAGCATCTAAGCATGAAATATGAAAATAATTACGAACATAATTTTCAATAGCATTGCAGCGCACTGAGCATATATCAGTATAATTTCTTTATTTGCATTGGCCTCTGATGGAGTATTTGGATACAGGAACTGTGTGCACACACTTGACAAGCTGATATCACCCTCTTCATCCTGGCCAGTGCTTTAATTTCTGCTGTTCTGCAGATCTGGTGTACAAGGGTAATTATGTCACTGTTTTTGTAGCGTTTGATAGCTTCCCATATATAATATCTTGATGATCATTGGGTTAGTCTTCCCAAATACAGTCTCCTTAGCTTATCTGTGAACTCCTTTTTTGATTGCTGACTGTAAGTTTAAGTTCCAGCAGTAGAGTGTTGCCAGCTAATGCCAAAACAAACAAAAGCAATCCCCCCAAATTAATCAAAACAAGTACAGATCTTGTATTTTTGTGATCTCAACCTTCATCTTCTTACTTTATCAACTCATTAATTACATCATAAACACTGTCACATTAAGTCCAACAATGCAACATTTATAATAACTAGATCTGGCAACTAGCAGAGGCTGCGTCTGTGTCCTTAGTAGCTAATTTACTCAACATGTGAATATTTAAAGACATGATATTAAACAATTTTTCATTCATAGAACTTTTTTACTTTTTTTACTTTGAGCATGAAATATTTAGCAAGGCCTTTCTGCGGGCATGTGTGGAGGTAAAGAGCTCTCGGAGCAGGCAGTTTGACTGATGAAGGGTTGGGAGTGGAGGAGAAGCACAGCTCGAGGACCTCTGGCTCTGCTCCCGTGGGTGTTTTTAGCCTCGAAGCTTGCTGAACTTTGTGTGGAGCACCAGAAATGCCTTTGATGTGTTTGTCTTTTGCTTTATGGCCCGACTGTTCCATCTGGTGTCATCTGGTAGCACTCTTTAAAACCAGAAACTATTTACAAGTCCTCCGCTGACTGTGCCGGCCAGCTCTGAGTCACGGCGGGCGAAGGGAAGCCTTGTTAAATCATCAAGGCGCTAATTAAAAATGTAATTAGGATTCAGATAATGTGCTAGCTCAGATAACAGCTGATTCAGAATGACTTTTTCAAAAAGGAGAAGATGTGTCATTTTTAATCAGCCTCACACAGTGCTGATATCAATGATGGAAACTAATGAAAACATTAAATTAAAAAAATCTAATAAAAGTATATAATAAAAATCGTTTTTATCGTCAGCAGTAATAGTCTCACAGACAGTGTGCTGATATGTAGACTGTAAAAAATGCTGCATTACACACAATTCCTTTATGTTGTTTACATAGATAGATATGTCTCTAACATGGGACACTCATGTAAAATGAATTTGTGAAAAGCTTCACCAAAGACTTGATTTTCTATGAAGGTTATGGTTCTATGGTGTTAACAAGAAAATCATGTACTTATTTTATCAGGCTGTATTTGTGAGTGTCATTAGATATGGTCTATCTACATGATATGGTAATCTTTCTGTAAATCTAAAATTATTTTTTTTTTATATTATCAGAATTGTTATGGGACTAATAGGATCAGAAACCTTTACCAGTACTCAAACACTCTACGAGCAATACACTCTGATTGAAATGAAAAGAATTCTAAACAATCCCATCTTGTGTACTCTTCTATGATCTTTACCTTCTGGTAGAAGATAAAGAACCTTCAACTGGAAATGGAACAGCCTTTAGAACTGTTTATACCAGTGTCAGTCAGACTATTGAACACTGATCGACAGTGTGCTTATGTTTTTTTGTATATAGTTCTTTTGCATGTTTGCTTATTTTATCATTTTTTAACTTGCTGAAGTGCCCTGTGAGTCCACAGAAAATTTCCCCTTGAGGGACAATAAAGTATACCAACAAACAAACAAATTATGTTAACTGATGTTTAAATTAGGGGTGTAACGGTTTACAAAAATCACGGTTCGGTTCAATACGATACAGTGGTGTCATGGTTCGGTACGTTTTCGATACAGCAAAAAAAAGAAAAAAAGTGAGAGGATTTCTCTGATTTAATTTTTTTAAATATTAAAACTAACATCATAAAAGTATGATCCTGTTTGTATTTTCTTTTGCTTTAAACAGTGATAGAGCTATACTTCTGGGGTTTCTGCTTAGCAGCAAATAAAACAAATCCTTCTTTATACTCAAAACCAAAAAGCTTCCTATAATAAAAAAAAATAATAATAAATAAATATTTAATTTTGGGGACCACGACCATCCTCAATGTTCAGTAGTGGCCTGTATTTATCTTTAATGAATTTGATTTTCATAAAGGAGCCAGAAACTTTAACCTGGTGCTATAAAATCAATCTGCCGCAGCTGACGCTATTGCTGTGTTGGTAATCTAACGTAGACACACAATCCTATGAAAATAAATTAAAAGTCTGATGGTTTTTATCTTCTGTTGCTTATGGATAAAATATGGCAATTTTAATAGTTTAATACCAATTTATTTAACTTTTCAAAATCAACAAGCGACCCCCCTGTCATTTTCCCACCACCCCCACATTTAGAACTACTGGTATATTATACAATTTTGGTATTAATTACAAAAAAAGTAACCAGAATCACAGAAAAACAGGCATAAATAAACTAAATATATGGGCAAAAATGTTAATTAGTCATGTAAACTTCATTTATTACATTATATATATCTTTGTTAACATTAGTTAATGAAAATAAAGTTCTTGTTAGCTCACGGAGCATTAACTAATGTTCCCAAGCATGATTTAGGATTTTAATAATGCATCAATAAATGATGAACTATGATAAATATATCATGTACAAGCTTATGTTCATTCTTAGTTAATCTTAATAAATACATTAACTAAAGCTATTGCAAAAAAAAAAAAGTAAAAATGTAAAACCATAATAACCATGCTCTTTTTGTTTTATTTCCCAGGGACATCCGTAACATTGGAGTGCGTCTGCCGGGTCACCTGAAGCGGATTGCCTACAGCATCCTGGGACTAAAAGACCAGACGAGCACCCTGAGTGTGTTTGCAGTGTGAATTGTCTTTAAGCAGCACCTTTGGCTGTGGACTCAATTAACTCTCATCTGCCTTGGGATTGGACTGCAGGGACAGACCTTCACCTGGCCAAAAAATAAATAAATAATGAAACACCTCCAGACTAGCCAGAAGGACTCGCACCGGCGTGGAGACGTGTAGCATTTGACGTACTTACCAACAAAATGGAGGACGTGTAAAACAATCAAAAAAGCTATTGATGTATGCATCAAAACCATGTATATTAGACTTATTTTTACCATACGCATATGTTTATTTTATTTCTTTGAAAAAATATAGTCGTTTCTTTTTAATTTTTTTTAGATTCATATGCATGCTTCATTTTAGCCAGAGAGTGATTGATCAATGCTAGTTAGCGGCTACTTTTAGCTACTTTCAGATCTTATTCGTTTCTCTTCCAATGGTGAACTGGCACTGTGTCTCTCTGACTGAATTACGAGAGAAAAACAGACCCGCAGGTCTTTCTCTTCCAGGAATATGGAGGCGAGCGTTAAGACTTAGTGATGTTTCGCTGATTGTGATGCTCTCTGGTTTCAATCATGCTTGAGTTGGCCGTGATTTGATGTCTCGCGCGATGACATTTTCTTTACAATTGCACTCTCAGCGCTATATGCTTTGGACCATCAAGTTTAAAAATCTCTGGTTTTAGATGAAACAGAGCAGCAAGGCGTTCCTTCAGTCCTGTGTTTTCTCAGCAAACAAGAAGAGCGGAGGCGCCGCCATGAAATAGCACTTAAATCAGAAATCTTAGCCGCCGTCTCATCCCTTATCGTCAGGAAAGGTTACAGCCACGATGACATTAAGGATCGGATGGAACAAAGAGCGAGCGAAAATGACAAAATGGAAACGAGTTAAGAAGAAAAACGCAGTTCTGGAAGCGATTGTCGGATTAAATCAAATAGGAAAATGTGATCCAGCGGCGTTCTGTAAACAAATGCACGGTTGTGATTTTCAGATATTTGCAGCAAGTGACAGTCCTCGCAGACCAAGAATATGATCAAACGGACAGTTCTGTTCACTGGGATTTGTGGATTCTGTTATTCATTGTGTGTCAGGAGATTAAAGTGGCCTGGAGCTGTGAATCACGGAGACTATCTTCAGCAGATCTGCTTCATGATTAACTGATCAAGATATGCTGGGATATGACCTTCCTTGATTATTATGACTTGCAGGACCTCATTATGGTTTCAAACAGGCTCACTTGTATGGAAAAACTGTTTTATTGTTAAGATTCTTTTCATTTTGTATTTATAGAGGGAAGAATCTGCTTTACACTTAGGGTGTGTTCACATTTGGCAGGTTTGCTTTGATTGAAACAAACAATTGAAACAATTTTGTGTTTAATAGACGTCTAATAGACATAAAAACGTAGACAGCTTGGCTAAAACAAGGCTAAACTTGGTCTGTCAGCAGGGGCGGATTTAACCAATAAGCAAGGTAAGCATCCCCTTAGGGCTGCAGTAAATCGAGGCCACCCAAATAAATACCTAGAAGTATAAATGATACCTAAAAATTTATATATAATAATTTTTTCTATCATATTTTGTATGGTGAGGGTCAAAATTTTTTAATTTGATCGTAATTATTACATCTGCGCAAATGTGTCTCCCACCTTCAATCATGGACCGGTCCAGCAGTCAAATCAGTAAAGATTTCATTTTAAAAACGAAATAGTTCATTTGTTATTTTTAGTTGTGAATTTATTTTAAGAAAACAAAGTTTCAAAAGTTTTACAAGGTGCTTCACATGTCATTATTATTATTTTGTATTACGATAAAATGTAGAAAAGGCAATCCAATGAAACGTCAAAAAAATAAAGGTGCATTTTATAATGTTTGGGTCACATGGCTGGCATTGCTTAGGGCCCCAAAATCACTAAATGTGCCCCTGGCTGTCATTCATTCATTCATTTTCTTGTCGGCTTAGTTCCTTTATTAATCCGGGGTCGCTACAGCGGAATGGACCGCCAACTTATCCAGCACGTTTTTACGCAGCAGATGCCCTTCCAGCCGCAACCCATCTCTGGGAAACCCCTGGCTGTCAATGAAAATCTAATAGCCTAAAACTAGACTAGTGGTCGAAAAGAGAGATTAGACAAACTTTATATGTGTAGTCATTCATTTCTGTTTATTTGATGACTAGTCTAGTTTTGGCCTATTCTTAGACTTCTATTAGATTTTCACTGACAGCCCAATTTTAGCCTTGTTTTAGCCAAGACGACTATGCTTAGACATCTACTAGACACCTTTTGAAAACAAAAAAATGCTTGCTGGGACATCTTCCTACAGCAGATCTGTTTATCTGTGCAATGGATGATTTCTTTAGACATGTTAAGGATTTTTCAAATGCTCCCAACTGAAGATAGTACCAGTATGTGTACATAAATTAAGGACTTTTAGGGTGCTTTTACACCTACACTTTTGTTTCGGAACGTATTTCGTTTGCCCAGTTAGCGCGGTTCGTTTGGAATATGTGAACAGGGCAAAGTAATCGCGCGAGATCGCTTGAATGAGGTGGTCTCGGCTCGATTGAAACGAACCCTGGAGTGGTTCGATTGCAGTGAGAAAGCGATCTGATCCGAGCGTGGTTATATCACAGTGTTTTATGGATATGTAATAGGCCTACGGCTATATGAAGAGAGAATTATGAGTAGGATGGGAAGTTTCGCGAGTTTCCGGATGCCCGCAAACGAGTGATGATCTCCCGGTAATCTCGCGTCTCCCTCCCTGAATCGATTCACAGGTGTGAAAGCACCCTTAATGTTTACATTTTTAAGTCAGGGGAACCAGGATTAAATGTCATATTTTCTTTTTATGTTCTGTCCTGGAGGGCCATTGTCCTGCAGAGTTTAGTTCCTACCCCAATCAGACACACCTAGTTAATCAAGCTCTTTCTTAGTATTCTAGAAACATCCTTGCAGGTATGTTGTTGAGGCAAATTGGAGCTAAAATCTGCAGGACACCGGCCCTCCAGGACTGAGTTTGGACACCCCCGGTGTAGACCAAATGAACTGAGATAACCAAACCTCAAGTGTGAACACCCCTTTGTTAATTCCACTTTGTTCGGATTATTGCTAGATGTTGAATGCAGGTGGGTTCTTCATATTTACTGTTTGTTTGCGGTTGATATTGTGTTTCATATCTTTTCTAAGTGGGACATTGAAACTGGCAAAGTTAGAGTTTTCGGAAAGGGAACATTTGTTATTTTTGACCTTGGTTCTGACCTTTTTTTAAACATTGAAATTTGTAAAGCTCAGTACAAACACTCAGATCCCACTCATTCATGGATATATTTCTACACAAACAAAAATAAGTTTGATTGGGCCAAATGTTTTGTACTTTATTTAATAGTCTATTTATTTTTTACTTTATTTATTGTTTTAAGTACACTGAATTGGGATTTATTTGTAACGAAAGTTTGTCTTTCAGTCACAATAAAATCTTTGTAGCCTCTAAACTCAGTCACTTTGATTTTTTTTCACTCACAACAATAAAAATCCATAGTAGAAAGAAAATAAGATGTTTCTAATTGCATCTTCATTGTAATGCATCAAGCTCTTTCATAGCGAGCAAGTCAATACAGCACTAATGTACTCAAGGAAGCCAGAAGCTTTGCATGACTGCATTATCTAATTGGTCAAAGCAGCCCCTATTTAATTAGTTGCTGGTTTGCAGTCCATCTGTAAACTATGACAGAAACCAATGAACCTTATAACCTGTGCAGGACAATTTACTTTGTTCTCAATTTAGCCCCTCCTGTCCATCCGTAACCACAGCTTCACTGAACTCAAATTAAGAGAGGCTTTTGTCTGGCGCCCAGAGTATTGAATTTATCAGCTGCCGTTGAGTGATGCAGCCAACAATGCCACTAATGCACCCTTTTGATAAGGTGGAAAATGTCAAGGCTGGAATGTAAATATTTATACACAAAAATAGTCGGACAAGGGAAGCTGGCTAGAGGGTGAAATCCCATCACGGAAGTCAAACAGGTTGAACAGAAGAAGCAAATGTCTTTCTGCTTTTCTGTTATTGTCTAGACAGCTTCGTCATCTTTTGTTCAGATGGACTTGCACCAGTGGCCTTGAATTAGGTCCTTTATTTTACACAATATGTGCCCCATGTGATTCAGTTTCTGTTTGACTGTGATCAAAAAGGAAGTTCCTGGACTATATGTGAAGGATTTATTGGTGCAGCTTATTTCAAAGAATATGATGATCCATTGATGTCACTTAAACTTTGTGTTAAAACGCACTTTAACAAACAGGTTAACAATACTGGTCTTATTGTATCCGTCTGTCAGACAGAGTGTTCAGGGCTGTAACCACCATAGGCATAAAGTAGGACAAGTCTTCTCTAAATATTTAGAAATGACCCTGAATTAAACATTTTTGAATTACATATTGCACTCCATTACAAAGCCCTCTTTTGTTAGGATGTCCAAAAGTGTTACAATTTAAAGTCAGCAATATATTGTAGTAGCTGTGATGTTATCTATAAGCTAGTAGGTTCTAAAACATAATACATTTAGAAGATATATGCATTTGAAATCTAATGCAAGTGCACAACCAAGCAAAATACTGTTCCAGTGGTTTTCAATGAAAACCTCTTACATATTGTGCCTTTAACAGGTTATAAAGAGACTAATATAAATTATAAATGAGATATTAGTGAGACACATTTTTTTATATATCAGTCAGCATGTGTAAAATACAATATCTGCATATTTAATGTATATTTGCATAGGCCTATTTGACCTTGAGGAAAATTGATTACGATCAATTAACGTAAAATACCTAATCCAGAATACCCACCTGTTTTGCGGAATAGCTACTCAAGTTTTTTTTGCGTCGCAATCTTTTTGCTTTAGGGATTTAGTTCTGTAAACGTGTCCTTTATGGAGGACGAAACCTACAAAACAAGAAATAAATATGCAAATAAATAAATAAATGTATATACAAAAATCCACAAATTCCTGCATAAATAAAACATTAAATAAAGAAATATGCACACAAATAAGTATATATATATATATATATATATATATATATATATATATATATATACATACACATACACACACATACACATATATATATATATATATATATATATATATATATATATATACATAGAAAAAAAATTTATTTTTTTTTTTTTTCTCTCTCTCTCTCGCGCGCGAGTGTGTTTTTTTTTGTGTGTTTTATATATATATATATATATATATATATATATATATATATATATATATATATATATATACACACATTTCTTTTATAGACAGAAAACAAATCACAAGCATGCATGGTAAAGATAGATAAAATCCACAATAGTATAAATCATTTCTGTAACATAATAGAAAAATTCACCTAATTATATAATTCGAAATGCTAATCACAATCCATGTGAAATTCTAGTCAATACTCCTGACCCAGACCCGAAATCTTAAGTGACAACAGCTGTTGCTGGCCTTGATCTGTGAAAAGCAAACAAAGAAATGTATGTCTCACCTTGGCAAGTATCTTCAAGGGCTTCGAACCCGGATTCGCACTGGCATTGGCTCATAGGTACGACCCATTCCCCATCCGTGGTG